CAAAGGTACATATACAGTGTTTAAATAAGGAGATGAAGGAACATCGTAGGCTATCCTGTAGCTTTTCAACGAATAAAGTCAGCGAGAGGTCGCAGGTTCGATTCCCGTCGGAGGCATTTTATTACACAATGACTTTTATAGGACTTTATTCGTTGAAAAGCTAGAGGGTAGCCTACGGTGTTCAATCATGTCCTTATTTAAACACTGTATATGCACCTTTGATGATTTATATTATACTTATTCAACGGTGTTAACGGCTAACTCCCTTCAATATCATATATATATATATATATATATATATATATATATACATATATATATATTATATATTTATAATTTCAAAAAATCATATAAAATATCAAATTACTTTCATTTTATTTAGATATAAACGATGCATGTAATGGGCATAGGTGTTTAAACGGGGGAAAATGCAAAGCTACTTCTTGCAATGTATACACGTGTGATTGTCCTGTGTGCTACACTGGCAAATATTGCAGAGAAAGTGAGTATTCTTTATAGTCATATCGAGATGCAATTGTAATTATGCTCACACATAAGATTTCAAACGTGCCGGTAATTGTGAGGTCAAAACATTATGTAAACCCTTTTATATAACTACCGGCGATGTGATTCCGCCCCTCACCATGCAAGCCCGTCGAGACGATTATGTCTTTTTAACAAGCCACAGTGCACTCTCTGTGTAACATTTGACCAACAAAATTGCTAATATGTCTACCTCTGGGGCTCCTTTTGCCCGGGAGCCGGAATTTCTTACGCCTTCTCCCTGAGAGCTCATCACAGGTTTCACAATTCTAGTAATAATTCGAACATGAGAGAGACTAATAGATTAATTGTTATGTTTATACTTATTGTTATGATGATTTTGTTGTCTTTGTAACGTACAGGAGTTAATCCATGTACACCTAATCCGTGTAAATATGGTGGAACATGTCATGTGAAAACGAGTTACCCATGCGATGAGTATGTATGCTGGTGTCCAAGGGGCAGAAGCGGGGATCAGTGCCAACGTAAGTGGTCAAGCAATTAATAATGTATTTTTTCACTAATGCTCTTGCTGCCGCCGTTGCTACCCTGCTCTGGCTGTTGTTGCTGCTGCTAAAACTTTGGATGCTGCTATTTGATGCTGATAATGTGGTTGCAAATAATATTTTGTTCTTGGTGATTCATCAAGAGATATCATTGTTTCGAAAAATAACTGTGATTTATTTCATTTACTTTCAGATAACAGCAACCCGTATTATTGGTAACCATACTGATGAAATCGTACTGTTATCCATATTTATAGGCTTTGCACAAACCCTAATATTTTATGTTGTGGATATCAATTCGTTGTATTTAAATACAATATATATATACTTTTACGCAGAGTGTAGGATTAATACGTTAGTATAAACAAGGCAATTAAACAGAAGGACGCACATCTCGGGACATCAAAGGTTATAACTCTGGCATCGACATTCTAGGTGCACGTGCGTCCCTACACGCTGAACGTCACAAAAACCATAGCAACCAGACCATAAACCGTCA